GCCTCGTCAATTTTCCCGATGCCTTAAGGGGATGATTATTTCTTAATCCTTTGTTTAAATTTTCTTTTGCAAGTAGGGTTTCGATATTATCAGTAAATCAGATATATGAGATGTGTTTACCTTATTTCGTTTAAGGTGATAAGGGGACTGGTAGTTGAATTTTCCCAATAGGACACATAAGGTCTATTTATACGATTGTGGGAAAAGTCAACTACTAACTAAATAGGGTGAACACATCTCATACAAGTAACTAAGTGTGGGTAGATTGGCCTTCTAGTTGAAATGTTCCTCACATTCAGTGGACTTTGAAGAATATGTGGACTATTGCAAAATACGGAGAAAATCTTTTGTGTGGATTAGCTCACAATTGTTAGAGTGTGATATTAAGTAAGAAAGCCTAGACTGGACAGAAATGGCCTCTGCAACTTGCCTCTTCCTCGAAGGCGGAGCAATATCGTCTCCTCAGGCTAACGCCCACGAGGACCTCTTCGACTGCAACCCTGTCGACCATTGTGCCATTTTGGATTTGCTTCTCTTCACGACTGTTGAAACGGTAGGATCCATTTATTGCGTTGAGGCCTATTTTCGGCACACGTCGTTTTGCATTCAACCGATCGCGTTCCACAAGACGACGAATGCAGAGAGCCATTTGGGAGCCGCACAGAGCAGCTGTGAGAGTGATTCTTCAGTTTTAGCATGTGCGCACATCCACATCCACACGCGCACACACACACACACACTCACTCACGCACACACAACCGAAGTCTGAGATGACAACACACCTAGGCGAGAAGATTAGGCTGCCAGTTTAGTCACGAGGGCCATTGTGACAGGTTGCTGGTGAAATACACCAAAGAATGCTGATTCTATACACTGACTGGAGTCGAATATGCTTACGATGCTTTTGGGCAGGTTAGCGGCAATTTTACGCAACTGATGCCAGTCAAGTCGAGGGCTGTTGGGATAAATCCGGTGCGCCACCAGCGAAAGATGCTCAATCTGATGTGAGCTCTACTCCCATGTTTGCACAAATCTAGTGGAACCCACGCAAATGGCCAACAGATTGCACTCAAAGTTGCCCTTTTGCTGCCGCAAGGCAGGGCAGTCCGGTCGACTTTATTCTCAGTGCTTTTTCGCATCGATCGTGTCAGCCACGCGTATGATTTTACTTCGAAAGTGAACCCCTGTACATCCAGTTTTAGGAGGCATGGCTGAACTGCAGATCTAGCTGCCCTCCCTTAAAGGAGGCCTACTAATCGTGTTCGCCTGTAGTATTGATTTTTGAGTCGGCTCAACTGAAAGCGCTCCTGTTCTCTTCACAAGAGCCTCAGTACTCTAGCCTTAATTGCATCTCCCAAAAAGAGCGAGCATCTATATCCATCCAGTTATCCACTTCTGTACACATACATGTGTAGGTATCTATGCTTTGTCTGCCGTTTGATCGATCATGCCCAGTTGGCGTAATAGATTGCAGATTTCTATGAAAGTGTACGCCTTGAGTGTTATGCCTGAATTAACGTGGGGAGATGGGCATTTGGGGCTTGATGTGTGAATGAACTGAGAGAAGGGCAGCTATTTGGTTTCAGGTTAATTGGTGACGTGAATTAGGGCAATGCGTAAAGTGCATGCCAGACCTAGCACCTTGGGACTCGTGCCGTTTATTCACATGTGCACTCAACAGGGCCACATGTCGGCTACAAGTGGGCCTGGGACCTGGTACAACTTGCATGAGCATGTTGGCTTCGATTCCAGGCATGAGTACATAATCACGTACTTCTCCGTGGCGTTAGTCAGTTGCTTCCACTTTTACTGAGGGGCGTCAAGTTGATGATTTTAAGCTGCCCTTAATAGCACTGTCAATTATGCTGTTGCGTCTGATGGGATAATGACGGACAATTGCCTTTCAACGACGAAAAAAAGCGGATTTTTGAAGTCACTTATTCATTTAGCTGACTTGACTCACAATTCACGAGAAAAAGTTGGTTGCAAGGGATTCTTGAATCGGCAACACTGAAAACCGAATGAGGATTACCTTGGAATGGAAACTGTTGAATTGTGTCAATAAGTCCTTTGTTAACCATCCTCTAGCCCCAATCCATCCGTGATGACATTTC